GGGGACAACCCAAAATGTGGGATTTTCTGTTACTTTCACTTTCAATGATAAATGGTAAACAGGACAAATAGGATAAATCTCCCTAACGAGGGGCAGACAGCAGTAAAAACTGAGAAGTGTTCTAATCCCTGTCCACTCTATCCAAAAGAAACACAAATGCAGTTTGTGATCCAATTTTTTGGTACAATATAAAGAATGAGATTGTATCGAGTAAACAGTATGAATTTTTCAGTTTATCAAGTGCCAAAATAATAAAATATACTAAAAATACTAAAGTTTTAATTTTTTTTTTTAATTCTTATTTATTTATTTATATTGAGACATTTTAATTTAAGTTTTATTTGCTATTTTTTTTAAGTTTTAAATTATTAAGTAAAAATACAAAAGTTAGGAAACACAAATGCAGTATATGATCCAATTTTTCGGTACAATATAAAGAATGAGATTGTGTTGAGTAAATTCTCTGAAAGCAAAGACAATGGAGAATAAAAGGGTGGTAGGTTAAATTTTTTTATGTCACTAGATATTAGTGCAACAGTTTATCAAGTGTTAAAATGTTTAAAAAAATACTACAAATAAAGTTTAAATTTTTTTTATTTAAATTTACTTTTGTTTTTTTTTTTACAATTTTTTGAAAGTTTTACATTTTAAAAGTAAAAATACTAAAGAATACTCATGTTTATTTTAGGGATCATGAATAATAATTAATTAAACATAATTAGTCTGGCTGAAAAAAAGACAAAAATCCATCCAGTTCAACCATTAAAAAAAAAAAAAATAAAAAGGTTATAATCCTATACCCACAGTTGATCTAGAGGAAGGCAAAAAAAAAAATTTTTTCGGTAGAAAATAAAGAATGAGATTGTGTTGAGCAAATAGCTACCAAATATGTCAAGCCTGGAATGTGTGCCTGCCCATGATATGCTGACAAATTTCGGTACCCCAAAATCTTGCATAGGTGACAATTTAAAAGTCTCTATAGAGCTGTGTGTCCCCGTTCACAGCGCCACAATTCTGGTTGCGATTCCAAATCGTGGCAAAATACGTGAGGCACGTTTTGGTGTCATCAGGGGCGGTTTGACAACTTATGGGGCCCCCGGGCAATAGGGGATCATGGGGCCCCTGTGTCCTTGCCCAAACTCAAAAGAACCTATGAAAAAGGTACCAGGGGCATCTCATGGGGCCCCCTACTGACCCCAGGTCCTCAGGCAGTGCCTGAGTTTCCAAATGGTCAGTTCGCCCCTGAGTGTCATTATTTTTGTTGGCACCCCAAATGCAGTGCAATTCTGCCACGCTTGTCACAGCAATCGTGGCAAAAATGCACATTTAAAAACTTGATCTAAATTCGTTGCCCAAAAAGGAATTCCATGGGGAATTCTATGTGACCCCAAAAAGAGTCCTGCACATTTTTTGGTGCGGTGTGATTAGAGCCATACAAAATGTATGGCTCCAATCACACCGCACACAAATCGCATGTGATTTGCACAGGAATGCGGTCCAAAATGGCGCGGACTCAGCCAACAATCAGCTCCAGGAAGATGAAAGTAAAGTAAAGTTCCCTGTGAGTACTGTTACAATTAGAAGATGCCTATGTGAAGCCAAGCTATCTGCAAGAAGCCCCCCACAAAGTCCCACTGTTGGAAAAAAGACATGTGCTGAAGAAGTTACAATTTGCCAAAGAGCACATTGACCGGCCCCAAAGAGAAATGGTGCAACATTTTGTGGACTGATGAAAGTAAGATTGTTCTTTTTGGGTCTAGTGGGTGGAGACAGTTTGTCAGACGACCCCCAAACACTGAATTCAAGCCACAGTACACTGTGAAGACAGTGAAGCATGGTGGTGCAAGCATCATGATATGGGGATGTTTCTCATACTACGGTGTTGGGCCTATTTATCACATACCAGGGATCATGGATCAGTTTGAATCCATCAGAATACTTGAAGAGGTCATGCTGCCTTATGCTGAAGAGGAAATGCCCTTGAAATGGGTGTTCCAACAAGACAACGACCCCAAACACACCAGTAAACGTGCAACATCTTGGTTCCAGACCAACAAGATTGACGTCATGGATTGGCCAGCCCAATCCCCGGATCTTAATCCAATAGAAAACTTGTGGGGTGACATCAAAAATGCAGTTTCTGAGGCAAAACCAAGAAATAGAGAAGAACTGTGGAATGTAGTCCAATCATCCTGGGCTGGAATACCTGATCACAGGGGCCAGAAGTTGGGTGACTCCATGCAACACAGATGTACAGCAGTTCTCAGAAACAGTGCGACTACAACCAAATATTCATTAAGTCATTCAAAGGAAAGCAAAATCTTCAAACATTTTTCAGTTTATATAGTGAGTGTTTGAGTTTGTAAAGAAGAATAGAAACACTGCTAGTTTTTTGAACCGTCTAATATTCACTTTTCTTCAATTTTTTTAGAGGAAAAACACAAATTTGATCTATTTTTCGTCATGTTTTTGATTTGGAATAGAATGTGTCGTGTTCCCAATGCATTTGTGTGGATGGAAATAAAAGCTATTAGAAGGATTTTGAGCTTTATTCACTTTTTTCAACACACTGCTATTATTTTGAACACAACTGTATATGTGAACCCAGGCTAAAGCTGCAGCTCAATCCTTTCTCATTTAGAAGACCAGGCCTTTTTTGGCACTTTTTGTTTAAATGTAACAATCAATATTTTTCACTAGAAATTTTCTTAGAACCCCCAAACATTATATCTTTTTTTAAAGCAGATGCCCTAGAGAATAAATTGGTGGGTGTTGCAATTCTTTTACGTGTTTTCAAACGCAATTTATTTGGAAAAAATACACTTCTTGAATTTTAATGCAAAAAAACACAATACATAACCCCATTTTTTTGGTAAAATATAAAAAGATGACGGTACGCCGAGTAAACAGATACCAAACATGTCACACTTTAAAATTGCGCATGTCCCGTGCAACAGTGACAAACAACGTAAATTTTGCTATCCATGGGCGACGCTTTAAAAGCCTTTACAGGTTACCACTTTAGATTTGCACAGGAGCTCTGGTGCTATAATTTCTGCCCATGATCTGACGTTTACATTCCTCACATGTGTGGGACGATTGATGCTTGCATGCGGGACCGATGCGAGCATTCGACTTTGTGTGCGGACATGGGGGACATGGCACTTTAAAAATGTTTCTTTTTTAATTATATTGATTTTTACGCTGTCACTTTAAAAATTTTTACATTTTTTTGCTGTGACAAGAAATGTAAACTTTTGTGACAGCAATAGGCTATGCCAGGTACTCTTTATGGAGAGATCTATAAAACGCCAGGTACTCTTTATGGAGAGATCCGGGGTCTATAAGAACCAGGCACTCTTTAGGAGGAGTTCTGGGGTCTATAAGATGCCAGGCACTCTTTATGAAGATATCTGGGGTCTATAAGATGCCAGGTACTCTTTATGGAGATATCCGGGGTCTATAAGATGCCAGGTACTCTTTATGGAGAGATCCGGGGTCTATAAGACGCCAGGTACTCTTTACGGAGAGATCTGGGGTCTACAAGACGCCAGGTACTCTTTACGGAGAGATCTTGGGTCTATAAGACACCAGGTACTCTTTACGGAGAGATCTGGGGTCTATGAGACGCCAGGTACATTTTACAGAGAGATCTGGGGTCTATAAGATGCCAGGTACTTTTTACGGAGAGATTTGGGGTCTATGAGACGCCAGGTACTCTTTACAGAGAGATCTGGGGTCTATGAGACGCCAGGTACTCTTTATGGAGAGATCTGGGGTCTATAAGACGCCAGGTACTCTTTACAGAGTGATCTGGAGTCTATGAGACGCCAGGTACTCTTTATGGAGAGATCTGGGGTCTATAAGACGCCAGGTACTCTTTACGGAGAGATCTGGTGTCTATAAGATGCCAGGCACTCTTTATTGAGAGAACTTGGGTCTATAAGTCACCAGGTACTCTTTATGGAGAGATCTGGGGTCTATAAGACGACAGGTACTCTTTATGGAGAGATCTGGGGTCTATAAGACGACAGGTACTCTTTATGGAGAGATCTGGGGTCTATAAGACCAAAAAGATCAAAACACCAAGATCGGTGTGATCAGATGCTTTTTATTTTTAAAAATGGCACCGGTTTCATCAGGGGAAAATCGGAAGTGATGGAAGGTCATTGCTTCCGGTTCCTTATATCATAGAGGCGAACAGGGCAGCTCCAGTCTTTGTTCACCTCCATGATCAGCTCTGGCTGGTTGATTGGGTGTCCTGGTGGGATGGGACAGCCTGTTACAGCCGCGGGGGGGAGGGGGGTAAGTGTCCCCTCCCACTGCTTGTAAAAGCAATCCAGCGACTAGTTAGCTGCTAGGATTGCCTTTCCAAGAGGGCCGATCGTCAGCTCTAAATAACAGTACCGGGATGATTCCTGCAGCTGTGGGCATCATTCCAGTATAACCACATGATGTCCAGCGACGTACAGATATGCCGCTGGTAGTCAAGTGGTTTACATAGCTTGTCATCACTGGGTCTCTGTGCTTCTCTGGCCAATGCAGGCAGATTATGGCTGGTGGGAGGGGCCAGAAAACATCACAGCACCCTGCAGTCAAGTCCAGATGCAAGCAATGGGAGGAGTTATGCAAATAGTTAAGCAGAATGTCCTCAAGGCTGGAACGTTTAATTGGTGTTGCAGATACCTCTAGGTAAGGTCCACATATCATGCTGAGCCTCTATGATCAGAAAAAAAAAAGAGTAATGAATGAAAAGGGCGGGCCAGGGACATTGGGACGGGGGAGGAAAGTACTGGTGGGCACCAGCCAGGAAACAAAAAACGGGTTCTATCCAGGGGCGGACTGACCAATTGGAAATTCGGGCACTATTTGAGGGCACGGGGTCAGTAGGGGGCCCCGTGAGATGCCCCTGGTACCTTTTTCATAGGCTTTTTTGAGTTTGGGCAAGGACACAGGGGCCCCATGATCCCCTATTGCCCGGGAGCCCCATGAGTTGTCAGTCCGCCCCTGGTTCTGACTTGTTGCAGCTTCTAATGCACATGGTGCGAAGCTCACAGTGTGCAGTGAAATCAGAGTAAGCCGTTTCAGTCCAGGAGCGGAGCCAGTACAAGTGTGCAAGACTGAAGGGAAGGCCAAAGTTAGATTTAATGGGCTTCATTGAATACAATTTAGATAAAACCTACAGAGAGTCTACTCAGGGCGATAACCAAAATCAGCCAATCAGAAATGATCTCTGCCTTCTCTGGCTATATGGAAAGGTGACATGTAATGTAGGGGTCAGGTTCGGGTCTTTGGAACCCAGAGGACAGGAAATCCACCTGTGTGTGTGTGTGTGTGTGTGTGTGTGTGTGTGTGTGTGTGTGTATCTGGAAAATGATGATCTCCGCTCCGTAATTCACACACACTCAGGAGGAAATGAAAACTGATTTGAGAGATAAGCATCCTTAATAAGCTCTCCTCCCATTCCGGAAGTAAAGGAGTTTATCTCTCGGCATCTGCACCCTCCATGACTCAGCCCACAGGCAAGAAACCCTCTGATCTCTGAAGTCTATCGGAATGACTGCATTTGTAAGGATTTTTCCTTTAGATCCCAATCACACTTCGCGTTCCTTCTGCCTTTTTTTTTTGCACATTTCTGCGCGTTGCGCATCCCATGCACTTGAATGCTCTGCCCTATGCAGGGCAAACATCCAAAGAGCCGGGAACAATGTAACTGTTAGGAAAGCCATGAGTATATATCCGATTGGATGCTGGCACAAGGATGGAAGCCCATGTTGGAGAATACCAATAATATTCCAGATTGTAGACTTCTACGATAAAGCCCCGAAAAGAGCGAAACGCGTCTGTGAAGTTCTCTATGCTCAGGGTGTGGCTGGGGGCTTAGTTGCATTTCCACGTGTTGCGCATAGGGCAGCCTATTTGCTTGAATGCTGCCCTAATGCTCTGCCCTATGCACAAGTAGTAATATCTGATCCACAGCCCCGTGGGAAAGAATGTAACAGTTAGGAAAGCCATGAGTATATATGTGGCTGGTTCTAGGATGCTGGGACAAGGATGGAATAGCCCGTGTTGGAGAAGAGCAGCACAAGCATCCCAGATTGTAGACTTCTACAATAAAGTACCCGAAAAGAGCAAAACGCGTCTGAGAGAGTTCTTCTACTAAAGTACCCGAAAAGAGCAAAACGCGTCAGGTGTGGCTGGCTGGCTTAGTTGCGTTTCCACGTGTTTCCACGGGTTGCGCATAGGGTGACCCATTCGCTTGAATGCTGTGCCCTATGCACCACAAGCATCCACAGGGTTGCCATAGGGGTGAACCCATTTTCGCTTTGAGCCGGGAACAATGTAACTGTTAGGAAAGCCATGAGTATACATCTGATAAGATGCTGGGACAAGGATGGAAGCCCATGTTGGAGAATAGCAGCAATTTCCCAGGTTGTAGACTTCTATGATAAAGCCCCGAAAAGAGCAAAACGCTCATCTGAGGAGTTCTCTATGCTCAGGTGTGGCTGGGGGGCTTAGCTGCGTTTCCACGTGTTGCGCATAGGGCAGCCCATTCGCTTGAATGCTCCGCCCTATGCACAACAAACATCCACAGCCCTGGGAACAATGTGAACTGTTAGGAAAGCCATGAGTATATATCTGATAGGATGCTGGGACAAGGATGGAAGCCCGTGTTGGAGAATAGCAGCAATGTCCCAGGTTGTAGACTTCTACGATTAAGCCCCGAAAAGAGAAAAAACACGTCTGAGGAGTTCTCTACGCTCAGGTGTGGCTCGGGACTTAGTTGCATTTCTATGTGTTGCACATAGGGTGACCCATTCGTTGGAATGTTCCACCCTATGCACGACAAACATCCACAGCCCTGGGAACAATGTAACTGTTAAAAAAGCCATGAGCATAAATCCAATAGGATGCTGGGACAAGGATGGAAGCTCGTGTTGGAGAATAGCAGCAACGTCCCAGGTTGTAGACTTCTACGATTAAGCCCCGAAAAGAGCGAAACGCATCTGAGGAATTCTCTATGCTCAGGTGTGACTGGGGACTTAATCGCGTTTCCACGTATTGAGCATAGGGTGACCCATTCATTAGAATGTTCCACCCTATGCACGACATACGTGTTAGAGAAGCTCATGTACCAAATTTAGGCACCGAGCACAACAAACACTCCACTGTTGGAGAAGAAAAGGGGCCATTTGGGGGACTTTATAAGCACTACAACAGTGATAAATAAAATGATTGCTTTATAAAACATACATAGACGTACAACAATTGTTAAAATCCTCTGCAGAGAATTGTACACCCAGTGCAGATACAAATCATATAGGTACATATGGTATTAATAAATCCCACAATAAAAGTATACCATAACCCGGCAAAGGTTTGAAAACAAATATTCTGATATCAATGGCTGTAGTAACTCGACATGTTTCGCGATAATATCACTTCTTCAGGAGTTAGATTTCTACATAAAGAAAATAGTATAGATTTGTAAACGGCAAGGGCACACTGACCATTTGGAAACTCGAGCACTGCCCGAGGGCCCGGGGTCAGTAGAGGGCCCCATGAGATGCCCCTAGTACCTTTTTCATAGGCTTTTTTGAGTTTGGGCAAGGACACAGGGGCCCCATGATCCCTATTGCCCTTGGGTTTGTCAGTTCGCCCCTGGTAAATGGCATTTTGTATTAACCAATATTCATCATACAGATCAATTGAGTAACTTGTCATACCTTAGTCTACAGGCATCAGTGCAGGGGCTGAGGAAGAGGACCTCAGGCCTTCCCAAGTGCGGCCAGTCAATGGGGGGATCCCAACAAACCAAGAGGGCAGGCGGCAGCCCCTTAAAAGGTTTCCTGATGTATAGAAAATATATATGCAACTATTAAGACACATGATGGGGGCCTCCTAGATAGGGGTATGTGGATATAGAAATTAGACCAACCTCCCCACTGATAGGGGTGCACTAACGTCACCAATCCTGGTCCAAGTGGGGCGGTTATAAAGGAAACCAGCAGTAAGCTAGTATAGTATGGGGGTACAATCTCATCACCAATTCTGGTCCAAATAAAGTACGTACTCCACTGTGTTTGACTTGTCATTACACAATTATGGCACCACAAGCACATTGCGCGTTTTACTGCATTTCTGAAACCATGCGGTTTTGCCGTCATTTTCATAACACCGAGGCGTGAACGCATCCACGATTTTTGTGCATTTTGTCACGCTACAAACACTCCAAAATCACACTATATTTGGGGTGCCATTAATAAATAATGGCATCGCATGCACTTCACTGCTGCTGTTTGCTGTTTTTTTTAACCTCTTGGCGCTGGCCGAATGCAAATGTGCAGCCTCCCGGCATCTGGGCCTAGACACTGAGCGGTCGCACATTTGCGTTCTATTAAAAAAACACATATGTGCTGAGAGCGCGCGCCCTGCACGCTCCCGGCATACACGTCCGGTACTCACAAAAATGTCCCTATCTCCTCTTTCGATCAGGACCTTTCCCGATCATGTGACCGCCGTGACAGCGAATCATGGTAGTCACATGACCCTAAAACCCCACCCCGTCTCCTGGCTTCTGAAACCCTTAAAGGGCCGGGAGGCGCCAGCGCCAATGGGTTAAAACAAGGGCTGAAACACGTGACTCTGCCCGCGTTTTCAGGAACGCCCAGATGCGAATGCAGCCTTATGTTCACCCAGTTATCCCTGCCTCTTTTCTTGTATAGTTGATGACAGCTAAGGGAGATGTCATTAGGATATTGGCTATTGGCCAAATATGGGCATGGACACTTTTAGACAATGATGTCACCATGATCCCTGCCCCTTCTTGGATAGCTGATGGCAGATCAGGGAGCTGTCATTAGGCTATTGGCCAAGTATGGGCATGGCCACATTTGGGCAATGATGCCGCCACTATCCCCACCCCTTTCCTTCCATAGCTTATGACAACTCAGGGAGCTGTCATTAGGCTATTGGCCAAGTATGGGCATGGCCACATTTGGGCAATGATGCCGCCACTATCCCCACCCCTTTCCTTCTATAGCTTATGACAACTCAGGGAGCTGTCATTAGGCTATTGGCCAAGTATGGGCATGGCCACATTTGGGCAATGATGCCACCACTATCCCCACCCCTTTCCTTCTATAGCTTATGACAACTCAGGGAGCTGTCATTAGGCTATTGGCCAAGTATGGGCATGGCCACATTTGATCAATGATGCCGCCACTATCCCCACCCCTTTACTTCTGTAGCTGATGACAGCTTGGGAGCTGTCATTAGGCTTTTGGCCAAGTATGGACATGGCCACATTTGGGCAATGATGCCTCCACTATCCCCACCCCTTTACTTCTATAGCTGATGACAGCTCAGGGAGCTGTCATTAGGCTATTGGCCAAGTATGGGCATGGCCACATTTGGGCAATGATGCCGCCACTATCCCCACCTATTTACTTCTATAGCTGATGACAGCTCAGGGAGCTGTCATTAGGCTATTGGCCAAGTATGGGCATGGCCACATTTGGGCAATGATGCCGCCACTGTCCCCACCCCTTTCCTTCTATAGCTTATGACAGCTCAGGGAGCTGTCATTAGGATATTGGCCAAGTATGGGCATGGCCCCATTTGAGCAATGATGCCGCCACTTTCCCCACCCCTTTCCTTGCATAGTTGATGACCACTCAGGGAGTGATTATTAGGCTAGTGGACAAATATGGGCATGGCCATATTTGGGCAACAATGTCACCATGATCCCTGCCCCTTTCCTTAAATACCTGATGACAGCTCAGGGAACTGTGATTAGACTATGGGTAGCTTTGGATTGGTGGGTGTCATTTTTTTTTTTTTTTTGGTCAGTATAATTGAGGGTGGATATACAAGGGACATTTTTGGGAATTTTTATTTAGTTTTATTTTGTTTACCGTGGTTCAAAGCCCCCATCCCCGGGGGATCAGGAGAGTCCAGAAACAAAAGCAAGGAGGTGTGATGGGGGGATGTAACCTTCACGGTACCATAAAAGTGATCAGGTGGCTCTACCACTTACTGAATAGCCATCAGGCGACTCCATAGCTCAATGCATTTTTTGGATGGTAATCCACATCTTCAAGAGCAGACAGTGGGGAAATCACAAATAACTGTTCTGAGGCTCTCAAGAGAAGAAGACAGATAAGCAGCTCCAACAATCCAAGAAAGGGACCCCAAAGTATAGGGCAGATATCTGTACCCCACCAAATGGCCAAGAACCACCCCAAAAATACTGCAGGTGAGTACACTCTTTTAAGGCCCCTTCAATTATTGGTGTAAATCTTTTAAAAAGCTTGTTCTCTCAAACATGGAAAAAGCTCTGCACTCCAAAAGCCCCCATGCGATGTTAAGTCCTCTTTTTCGAATTCACAAGTATTGCATATATTCAAAATGTCCAGGGTCCCGGAGATGTCACTCAAGTCACACAGATAACAAATAAGGATCATGTTGTCACCTGCCGTGGGATGGGGCTGCCAGTACAATTAGTGGTGGGTAAATAGTTATTATGTAAGATCAGATGCCACCCTGGGCCAGGCGTGCCAGGTCAGCTTCCTCTGCTGCGTCAATAATAAATAAGGACTCTGGCACAGGCTGGTGGCCAGGGGATCGCGGTCACAGTGTGGTGAGTAAATAAGGGTTACATCGGATTATGTTTCCTAGCGGGAACAATAGACGAAGGGATACAGCCAAGATACTTATAGTCCTTGATTGCCAAATCCAGCACCGTCACGCTTCTGAATTATTCCAGCGCAATCATAGATGGGGCTTAAAGTGGACCCCCGCTTAAAAATCAAGCCATACTTTTAAAATTGCACTTTCATGATTGAAGGAAGTGTTTTCTCTTTACCATCCTTTACTGTCATGTCATATGCAATGGTTTCTAATGCAGAATGTTTGGAAATAATGTGATACATTGTTTTTTCTTACATATGTTATTAAACATGCAAGCTTCCAGACTACAGGCGTACCTCGGTTTACGAATTGAATACGTTCTGCGGGACTTTTCGTATTGTGAAAAATTTGTAAAATGAAACGCGGTTTCCCATAGAAATGCATTGCAAACCAATTAGTTTGTTCTGGAGGTCAGAGAAAAGTTAAAAAAAGTCTTTTATCTGTTTTAAAATTCTTTATAAAGTGCACTTTAAAAGCATAAACACTGTACAGGAACATGATTAAAAATGAATTCGTAAATGCATTGAAAACCAATTAATCTGTTCCGGAGGACAGGAAAAAGTAAAATAAAGTCTTATTTGTTCAAAACTCTATAACGTGCACTTTAAAGGCATAGTACTGAACTTATTAAACCCAATAAAGCCAAGGATCTTACCTTGAGATTTGACCTGCCCAAGAAATTTGAGTTTGGACACTGTAATTTGAGTTTGGACACTGAAATTCACCCATCTATTGAGATTCACCCAAATGGACTCTAAGTGCCAGAGGTATTGCTGCTGTTTTTGGGGTATCCTGTTTTTCTAACCCTCTCTCCCTGGAGTTATGAGCAATAAAATAACAAAAACAACAAAAGTAACTGACACCCAACTTATTAAACCCACTAAAGCCAAGGATCTTACCTTGAGATTGGACCTGCCCAAGAAATTTGAGTTTGGACACTGAAATTCACCCATCTATTGAGATTCACCCAAATGGACTCTAAGTGCCAGAGGTATTGCTGCTGTTTTTGGGGTATCCTATTTTCCAAACCCTCTTTCCCTGGAGTTATGAGCAATAAAATAACAAAAACAACAAAAGTAACTGGCACCCAACTTATTAAACCCACTAAAGCCAAAGATCTCACCTTGAGAATGGACCTGCCCTGGACCCTTTTGAAAGTTTGTAGATTGAGGAATTCAAAGATGCTCCCTGCTAAACTACTCTTGGGGTTATTCCAGATCACCCACAGTGAAGTAGTGCTACAAGCCTACAGCTACATACAAGGTCCAGGGCAAATTCTGAGTGCATTTTTGGATGGTTGGAAGAAACATACACAATGGTGGGAAGAAACAACACACGAGAATAAAAAAATTTCATGCAGATAGTGAATTGATCCCAGAGCTCAAGACCAACATGCAAGGCTCATTGAGCACTCAGAGAATTATCAATATTGAAAGTTCATTCCACAGAGAGATCTGTCGGAGAACTTTTTTTTTTTTTTTTTTGCTAATCTTAGGTACTTAGCGAAGTCTGCATACAGAGATATTAGCAGTGATGCTGTAATGAGATTACTGTACAATGATCAGACCCCTTGAAGCACTGTTTAAATGACGATACCTGGCTAAGTACATTGCCAAGCAGAGCCATGCCGTTTGCTTTTAATTCATTATCCATGAATAATTCTCTTTCTTAGAAAATCCCCTGTGTAATCGCTGAGTGGATTTCACACATTGAAAGAGGCAGGCTAGGCAGCCAGTAAATAACTCATCACGGCGCCGTGACAGCTGATAACGAGCACTTCTCTGCTGAAATGATCACAACTACCTTCTGTTTTTCCTCTTAAAATTTTCTTGTTATCCTCAGAAAGTAAAAGCGACCATTTTGTATCCTAGTATTCAATCGAAGGCACCCTTTCAGTTCATTGGGAACCTGTTGTATATGTGGGGTACAGGGGAGGCTGCCATTTCGAATCCTAATCTAGTAGTCCTGAGATGGTATCTTGTTTATTCATTAGGAACCTGTTGTATATGTGGGGTACAGGGGACACAGCCTTTTTGTAATCTAAGTAGTGATGGGCC